AAACGACTCATGATTTCAACTAGTGAAATTACTAAAATCTCCACAAAACCCCCTTCCGATAATAATAATCATCTGCTCACTAGTGACTGAATTCAACAGGAATTTCCTGAAGTTCTAGTGAGAAACCGTGACCAGTGGAGTTCAATCAGGTCTGTTGTGAGATATCAGCTCACTGAAGACAATGGTTTACGGTGGAGCAATTTCGTGGATTGTTTGAAGCTAGACATTAACACCGTTGGACGCCGGTCAGCTCAGTGGTCTAATGTTTAAGCGTTCGCGCACGAGACTGATAGGTCCTGAGTTTGAATCTCACGGTGGGTGGGATCGTGTATGCGCACTGCTGATGAATCCCAAAATAGGACGAAACGGCCGTCCAATACTTCCAGATTTTTTATGGTGGTCTAGCTTCAATCGACTCATGATTTCAACTACTGAAATTACTGATATCTCCACAAGACTCTTTCTCATATTTTGTATTTGATAAACTAATCATTTAAATGTAAGTAATGTTTCAATATTAAAAGAGAAAAGAATAGTAATAAATCAGGATTCACAATGTTATCGATACATCTATGAGATAATCAATACTGTTATCATTCAGTAACCATGTTACATTTGATGCTTCATTTCGTTTGTGTATTAGTTACGCCTGGAATCCTTAAGAACCTACTAGTACCCTGCCTAATCTACTATCGCTTGTCTTTTATTCCTGTTTCTAACTGATTTAGATTAAAGCAATTTAATTTTATGTTTATTCAATCCATCTTCTGTTTAAAAGTACATTCCTGATGAGTGAATTTTAACTTACATCATCAAGACAATAATCATTAAACAATTAACAGCTAATTCAGATTTCGATCTAGAAATTTTCAGTGATCTATTCGATTTTTAATTCTGTTTTACGACAATGTGGAGAATTTTGTGTTTAGTTCTATAAATTTATTCCTCTAAGTTTTAAATTACAGACTACGTTTAGTTAGACAATCACAAAAAACTAGAGAGTATGGGGTATTTGTTTAGTCGTTGTTTGGGGCTTCTCAATGTTGTTCATACATGACTTGATCAGACCTTTTATAGAAAGCTCAATCCTCAGACTAATAACTTGGTATTTACATTTCTAACTGCAGTCAATACTCAACCGTCATCAATCAACATTTATGATATTTACTAAAAGGCTAACACGATTGAATTCAACTGACCACAGCTTTTAACTAAAGCTCAGAATTCCCTCTCAAAATTAGTCACTAGCAAGCGCTATTGTTTGCACAGAATTCCAACTTCACAACTAATTCTCTTATAGTATTACATAAGCTCTTAATGAATCAACAGTAATAATTTATTTTAACCATTACCGATTGACTATTTCTCTATTTTCACAGATTGAAATCATGAGTCAGTTGAAGCTAGACCACCATGGAAAACCTGGAAGCACTGGACGGCCGTTTCGTCCTGGTATGGGACTCCTCAGCAGTGCGCATCCACGATCCCGCACCACGCGGGGCTCGAACTCAGGACCTATTGGTTCCGCGCGCGAGTACTTAACCACTAGACCACTGAGCCGGCATCCAACGGTGTTAATGTCTAACTTCAACCAATCCACGAAGTTGCGCCACCGTACACCATTGTCTTCAGTGAGTTGTTATCTCACAACAGACCTGATTGAACTCCACTGGTAACGGAGTCCCATACCAGGACGAAACGGCCGTCCAGTGCTTCCAGGTATTCCATGGTGGTCTAGCTTCAACTGACTCATGATTTCAATCTGTGAAAATTTCTAAAACTCCACAAAACCCATTCTGATATTTCCCTATTGTTAAATACGAATCATTGATATACAAGAAGTTATATTATCACTGTAAATTTGAACAATAAATATAAAGGTAAATGTTTTTAATTCATAAATCATTTAAGGTTCACAAACTCGATTTACAACGAATAGGTCTATGAGTTGTTAGTTAAACAAATCGATAGTTTGAACAATATTTTCCATAATTGTATTTGATTAAAATATCAATGGGAATAACTTTATTCTTTGACTGACATTAACATAAAATTAAAATGATTCTATTTATTAAATGATGTATAGTTACTAGAAATATATATATATATATACATGACTAATACTTAGTTTATTATGTTTACTTGACATATGTAAAATTAGAATGTGGTTAAAAAAGTATAAAGAGTTCAATGATAGAGACCTTGTGAAATTTATTATTCAATGGTCAATGACTGTCATTTATATGACATATTGTTTACTTTATATATATATATATATATATATATATATATATATATATATATATATATATATATATATATATAAATCTATCATAAAATATAATTTGAAATGAAATTCTATATCCAGAATATGTATATACACCTATTGATAAAGTGGTTAATAGGTGGAAACATTTCATCTTAAGAATAGTTTTCTTCCTCAATAAAATCTAATGTAACTAGAACATTAACAAATGGATATTAAATGATAAGCAGAATTTTTAAAAAAAGAAAGAAAAGAAAAGAACCTGAAAAATTATGACAACATAAAAATAATAATCAAAGTTTTGTTAATTATATTGTTAGAAAAGTAAAGTAGATTTCTTAATTGTCATATTAAAAATTCACGTATACATTCATAAAACCAGGAAAAACAAAACAAAACAAATACAGTAAGTGTGTCAAAGTCATCAATAAATTTTCAGGCATCTTATTCCAACTCTTTCACTCTCTTTGATAGCTTATCGTTAATCTTTGTATATATATATACATAAATGACACATTAATAAGTCATTGAAAACAAAGATAGCCAGAAATTGCCTTGTCTGTAAGTTATGAACCTCAAATACTTAACATACTAAACAAACGAATTAGATATGTCAAAGTTATCAGTCAAATAATTTAATGTAATAACTAAGACATAAAATACATACATACTATATATATACGTTTAAATATATTAAGTTTGAAAATTTGACAACATTGAATAGAATACTTTTTCTGATTTGTTACATTGTTTATAAACTATTGTTTTTTGTATATTTCGTAGTGTTTGTTTGTATCTTCTGATTGCAGAAGCAGGTGGCTATCAGGACTTAGTAGCTAAGTGGATAATGCGATGACATTTGAAGCGGACAGCACTGGGTTCGAGTCCATGGGTGAACATCAACTCTGGGATGTAGGTACATTCAACTGACGAGTCCTAAATAAGACAAAACGCGCTTCCTAGATTCCACTGCTAGCCATTATTCATCTTTGCTTATATCGTTTTTATATCTCTGATTTTTGTGAAATAAAGTGTTTTGTTAGTAAAAGAATCCAGTTTTTGAATAATAATAATGTGATTAGAATCCATTTTGAAGTTAAAAGTGTATAAAAATGAATAAATAACTAAAATGGTTTTAATTTAGCTAAAATTTGTGTTTCTCTTCTGGCTTTTATTAGTTCATTTATGAGCTTGTTATATTATTTATTCTCCAGTGAAATTTGTGACTGTGTAATAGTTAAGTATACTCACTCACTCATCCATTCATTCATTTACTTACTTATTCACTCACTCACTAACTCATATGTGATTAGAGGCATAAATAAACATACTAGGGACCTTTTTAAACTTATATCCAATTCAACAAAAAAAGAAGTTCAATAAATCATTGTTTTATGTGAGACAAGTTTGATATTTATTGTTTAATTATGTATGCATAATTTATTTTATTACAAGTGAACTCAAAATTCTTAATTACAACTATTATTAACATCAGTACTTTTGAACAGTGGCTAACAATGGACGTGAGTTTCATCTTATCTGGAACTTGTTAGTTGAATTTTCCTACATCCTAGAACTAGTGAGTAAAATTAAGCCCAAACTCTCTCCAAACATCACTAGGTTCAGAACCACTAACTTGTTCAATGGATACTAAGCTGCATATGAAGGTTTGAATTTTCGCACTTATGTTATAGACTGCGAATGAATATTTCCTTTCAACATTATTAGTAGTGTAGTAGGATAGAAACTTCGTGTTGTCTTCCTTTAGTCCTAATTTCCGGATTGTCTTAATATCAGTCTTGTATCATGGCTGATTGTTGACTGTTGCTTTCCTTATTAAATGTAGGGGCATTTTGTGCCCATTCTGAGTCCTAAAAGTACTTTTACTTTTGTTTTTTTTCCAGCTGTCCTCACTCATGTTACTCTGCATACTCCTCTAAAACACAAAGTACCTTCTGCCCTATATGTGAACCTCTATAGTAGTAATAGTAAGAGTAGTAGTTTCTGTTGTTATGATGAGGATTAATAACAACTGTCCAAGTACACCACGTAGAACATTAGTTATCAGGGGTTAATTAGTGATTAACATCATTCTAGGTAGGATAATCATATGTTTTGGTTTCCATGCATTAGCTGTCCATTTTTTTAAAGAAAAAAACCTATTAAAGCTTGTACTTTAGGTAATTTTTTACTAGGATATAAGGGGTAGGAGTACAGCTCAGTTAACTATCATACGATCCTGATTAGTTTCATGTACTATATTAAGTCATTCTTAGTAACAGTATTCAGTTTCCTTTACAACAGAGTTGTTCATTACTTCTGACTTCTAATATTTGCTTCTTTGAAAGCTAAGGTTCTATTTTGCCAAAAACTATTGATTTGCCCCGTTTATGCAAAATTATAATTCCATTAATTATCAGCCGTAATATAGTTGATCAGTCATTAGAACATAACAAGGTGAAAAACAGTTTCTAGGATGATAGGATATCTTGAAGAGATCCGAAAGAAAATCTCATTTGAGTTTCATCTTCAGAATCCATATACTACTTTCAATTTTTTAAGGATTCTATTTAGGATAAGTAGGTCTTCTAATAACGTGTTGTCATTTAAGAATCAAATCTGAAGAAAGAGAACAGTTTACTCGTTTCTAAAGTCATATGCTTCTAAAGAAAATCTATTGTAAACAATGAAGGCAATTGAGAAAAAGTTGAAAAAAAAATTTATATTCACTTACTTTGATTAGATGATTGTAATTCTTTGAGAATTAAATTATCACAATAATTATTTATATTTATTTGATCTTCATTTTTACCAGATGGTGAAGTACATCCGTTAACATGATGATTGTCAACATTAGGCTGATGTATATTGTTGTTCACAGTACTTTCTTCTTGAAAATCATCATTTATTGATTTAGTTTGTGTAGTAGATAAATGATTATAACATTTAAGATCATTCGGTTTTTCTATTTTCGACATTGGTTTGGCACGTAACATATTCATAAAGAAATCTGGATCAGTTGGTGATAATTTATGAACACTACTTAAATGTGTAGGTAAAAATAAACGTGGTCCAATAGGTAAATCACATAGTGGACAATAAATCGATGTTATAGCAGAAGGGATTTCAGTAAGGTTTGAATTTTTAATACCATTACTACCAGTGGTAATATTTGTATAATTGTATATATTATTAGTAAGGGAATTATTCAAATTATTCCATAGAACAGTATTATCGAAATTAGGTAAAAGTGATTTATCTAAGTGACAATTTACAGCTTGTTCAGAAATAAAATGATTTGAAGTAAATAACGGCCAATAAGCTAATGGAAGAAATTGATTTACTAAACCAAGTGTAGAATATGCAGAATTAAATGAATTTAACATTTCATCAGATAATGTTGCATCTATTTTACAATTTTCATCAAAATTCAGTGTAGAATTATTTTGATGAGAATTAGTTACACAATTTATTGTTTGTAAATCATTTAAGGAATAATTCAATGATGAATTATCTATTATTGGTGGATTTCTCATTGGTGGTCCACCAACATCTTTTGGTGATATTCCATGAACTCTTATTTTATGTGTTCTTAAAAAGTACTTATTGCATAATTCCTTATTACACAATTCACAAGTAACACGATCAGCTAATTTTGCTGCAACCATACTATTTTTAAAAGCATCTAATGAATGTGTACCAAGACGAAATTCAGAATTTTCAGGATAATTCATATTCACTTCATTAGTATTTGACTTGTTCACAAAAAATAGAGATGAGTCAATTTCTTCCTTTTTTGTTTCATTTTGATTAAATTTTTGTGACTCACAGTCACCGTTGTCATTATCTTCGATATCCATACTTAATTTTTCAGTGTTGTGCTGTGTATTGTCTTTCTTATTTATACTATCAGTAACTTCCATTTCAGTTGGAAAATTTTCCAGAATATCAAACTGCTCTTTCTCATTTTTTAATATCAATTTATCTGAATTAATCTGATGACTAAAACGATGCAGCTGGAGGAAATATTCATTACAAAACACTTTTTGACATTGATCACATTGAGCTTCACGTAAGGCAACGTGGTTTAAATCGAGGGAAGGCGGTATCGACAAAAGTGGAATATCAAGATGAGGATTTAATGGAGACATCAGATTTGATTTGGCCATTACTTCGGAAGGATTGAATAAGCCAGCTGTAGATGGTGAAAAATTCGCTGCTAGTGCCATCATATAGTAGTGCTGTGCTGAAAGTAAAGGATTTAAGTTTTTTGACTGAACTATCGATGGATCTATCATGCTCTTTTGTCCAATATTTAACTCATTTTTATCAATAATATTATGAGTACATGAAGCAGTCATATTAAAGGTGGTTGTCTGGCAAGAACTGTTCGCTTCATTCAAGGTACTTTGATCCCCAGTAAGATCTATTGACTGGTTTACATTACTACCATAACCAGAGCTAATACTAACACTGTTTCTACTGCATGTTGTGCTTATAGTAGTAGTACCTAAACAGTTTTTGTTCCATTGGGTCATTTCATCATTTCCACATCGTTTTTCATTTGTAATTTCACTTACATAACTGGGAAGCAAAGGATTGCTTCCACATTTAATATAATCATAGATGTTAGATAATGATTTATTATTTAACTCACATTTTGTTGGAGATTGTGTTTTCATTAACTCACATTGAATGTCGTTCATTTGGGATTTATCAAAATCTGATGTAAAATCAATCCCTTTGACTTGATCTTTTATTTTGGAATTATCACTGGGAAATATATAATTATTATTGTTACACTTAATAGTAATGTCGATATCAGATGAAGCATTATTGATAAAACCAGTTACATTGCTCGTAATGTTATTATTATTAGTAGTAGTAAGGAATGGGTTGACATTTTTTATTTGACTTAAATTATTCACAGTTTGTGTTTCATTTCCACGACGACGACTATGCGAATATGGTTCAGTGTGAATACCATGAACATCTGTTTTGTGTTTACGTAAATAGTATTTATTACAAAAATGTTTTTGGCATAAATCACAAAAATCTTCATCGTTTTTTCTCGAAGTACTATAAGAGCTATTATTACTATTAGTTGTGGTGATATTACTTACGGTAGTAGCTACGGAATTATTATAATTATTTCGAGATTTATTTGAATCAGTATATGAATTTAAAACCGAGAGATTATTACATAAATGTTCCTCATTATCTGATAAAATAGACTTTGATTTATCATTGTGATAATTATTAAAAGTTCCTGATGCTGATAAATTCTCTGACGATGATGATGATGATGACAATGGTAAAACTAAGCCATGAGAATTATTAGCATTAAATGAAGATAGACCGGTAGAATGCGATCTGAGAAGCATAGTGTTATTAGCACCTATACTAGCTATTATATTATTATTGTTATTATTTCGAGAACTATTAATTGTTGAATTGACAATATTTGTAATCATAGTATTAGTATTAAAGGACGAAATTGTAACTGGATAACCTTCAGTCCAAGAACGAACTAAATTGTCGGAAAATTTATTCATGCAGAGATCACTTGATGAGAATGTTGGTGTTGGTATAGACAATAAATTTGTTGCATGACCATTTGTAATTTGATTTATCAAAGAATCATTTGACATACCAAGACAAAAAGATGGAAAACCAGGTAGTATATATGAATTATTGTTTGCTGTACAGATATCTTGTGCACCATTTGAATCGCCATCTTGAAATATGGGGTTTATTTTAGATGTTTCATTTAATGAAGGTTCACTTACTTGTGTCATAAATGACTTTGTCAAGTTTAGTCCTAATCCAGTTGACTGTGGTGAAGTGGATGATACAGATGAGCATGACGATGTCGAAGAAGAGGAGGAGGATACAGATGGTACAAAGATTGATGTGTTAATTTGTTTTTCAGAGTTTTTTATAGAAGATGATGGAGATGGATTTTTTCGAGTAGTTTGTTGAGATTCAATCATTTGTTCAGGTGAATTTAATGATAATACAGAAGTAATACAATGCATTAAGATGGATTTCTTCTATTCATTAAGATTTATTGACGTCTTAAGATTTATTCAGGTTACCTTAAAAATAAATAAATAAAATCAGCATTCAATTTCTCCACTTGTAAATCAAAGAATTATATTGATAATTATAACTATCCATTGAAACATATATTCGATAAGACAGGTAAGTAGTTGTTAGAATATTAATGTTAAAATTTTCCCGTCCATTAATTTTGAATTAAAAAAGCCTCGGTGAGTCGAATTATAACTACATACAGTCAATACTTGAAATTTCCCTGAAGCAATACCTAGAGATAAGCATCACGAATACTGATATCGGCTGAAAAAGAGCTATTGTAAACTAGGAAGCAGTCACCAGTAATAGTGAGGAGTTCTAAATTAAAAGAAAACAGCTTTTAGAAGCACTCTGATTTACATTAGCAATCTAGTTATTATTCGTTTATTTTTTAGTTCACTTTTTGGCTGAAATAAATTTACATAAAATACCTAACTAAATAGTAATCGTATCCTCATTGGTGACAAATTTCGAGATGCAGAAATATATAACCTAGTGAAACTAAACCATATCATCAATGAGACAACTATGATTGATGGTAATGAAGGGTGACCACGTAATATTTGGAAGAACACCTGAACGTTAGATATGTGGACCGTTCGGTTACAAATATTATTAGTAAAGACAACGTTTTAGTCCTTAGTCATATATAGAGTTAGTCAGTGATTAGAAACATGGAACTCAACACATTTATTGATATTTTCTAGTTTCCATGCCATATTCGCATGATGAGATAAAGTCATAAAGGCAATAGAACTAAGACAGTAGAACTGTTAAGAGTATCTGTGATAGTGGAAAAGATTAAGTAAAAACGATATGATTCAAAATAAAGGAATGAATTCGCAGAATATAAATTATAACAACATTCTCAAACTGAAGGTTTAATGGGATACAAAATAAATAAATTTGTGTCATTGTGATAGATTCTACGCCATGTAATTCAATGTCTTTGAACATTGTATCAGTGAATGTACATGGTTGAAGAGTTTTAAACTAGGATAAAAGATTACCATCTGGTTTTCGGTCGTCTTACAACTGACATATGTATCCATGATTTCAATCAACTTCAGTATAAGCACTTTTACATCATAGTGAGAAAAAAATACGACCCGTTGAACAGTAAACTGAATCAGCAATGTAAAAATAATATGTTTAGACATTAAAAACTATCCGAATGACATGTCACTTGAGTAGTAACCTCTTTAAATCAGTTCTTCTTAGTTTATTATTTACTTGAATTTAAATAAGCGTAAATAATTTACAGTGATATATATACATATATATATCTTATATGAAATTCCTCTTATGCTAAAACATTTTTATGAAAAGTGGCCACTGAATCTCCAAAATTATATAGAAGAATATGAAAAGTAACCACTTATGATATACCTATTGACTATACTAGAACATTTTGTCTTTATTTATTTATAAAATGAACTGAGCAATAGATCAAGTCATGCATATAAAAGATAAAGTGTAATAAACTATTTTATAATAGATTTACTATATTTTTTTATTTTTAAAAAAGAAAAATTAAATAGTTAAGTTATTGAACAAATTGTAATAGCCTTAGGCTGTCTATTTTCATTCTTTCAACTTATTATCTTAATCAAATTTCATTTCTTTTCATATTCAAAATAGGTACCATTCTTGTATTCATAATCAATATATGTATATACATATACTCTGGTGTATATATTTACCATTGGCAAACACTTCATTTGATTGTTTCTTCTTTCTTTTGTTATGATTCAATTTTTACAAATTTTTAACATTTCTATTTGGAATCTTTTGTTTTGTCTTCAAATGATTTAAATTTGATTATTATTATTATTACTATTTATGATTAATACATTGTGATTATTTGTCCACTTTTAACTGTTAGTAATACTTACTAATCGAATTTACACAAGCAATTTTATAGAATATTCTTTACTAATTTAAAATATCAGAAGGGGTTTTGTGGAGATTTTAGAAATTTCAATAGTTGAAATCATGAGTCGATTGAAGCTAGACCACCATAGAAAGTCTGAAAGTATTGGACGGCCGTTTCGTCCTATTTTGGGATTCATCAGCAGTGCGCATCCATGATCCCACCCACCGTGAGATTCAAACTCAGGACCTATCAGTCTCGTGCGCGAACGCTTAAACGTTAGACCACTGAGCTGGCCGGCATCCAACGATGTTTATGTTTAACTTCAACCATTCTACGAAATTGCTCCACCGTCAACCATTGTCTTCAGTGAGCTGATATCTCACAACAGACCTGATTGAACTCCACTGGTCACGGTTTCTCACTAGAACTTCAGGAAATTCCTGTTGAATTCAGTCACTAGTGAGCAGATGATTATTATTATCGGAAGGGGGTTTTGTGGAGATTTTAGTAATTTCACTAGTTGAAATCATGAGTCGTTTGAAGATAGACCACCATTGGTTCGAATGTCATGGGGTGGAGTGGTGTAATCATGGATTCGCACTGCTGATGAGTTGCACACTAGGACGAAACGGCTGTTCAGTGCTTTGAGGTTTTCCATGGTGTTCTAGCTTCAATTGACTCGTGATTTCAACTATTGTAATTTAAAATAATTAGCATCGAATTATTTATAATTTCATACTGAAAATACCTTTTTTAGCTATATTGACAGTAGTCAGAAGAGGTAATTGATTGAAAAACTCAAAGTAAACTTATTATCCCTTTTATAAAATTGTATACTGTACAGCTTTATAGTCATTTGTAAAAGGCAAGATAAGTATAAAACCTAATTGAACACAAAGAATTAACTAGGTGTATTCGAAATATGAAAATTAGTATTTGTATTAAAAGTAACTGGAAACTATGGATAACTAAGAATTTCAGTTGAATGACTGAGTAATATCATGATACTTTTCATCAGATCTCAAGAAGCTGTTTTCGATATCGTGTGAGTTTACGCCTAGGAAATAGTATATTTGGATAAGATAGACATCGAGTTTTGATATCCAAATATATACAATCTTCATAGAAGCTACCTAAATAATACGTAATCAGTTTACTAATGTACCCATCAATGGTTTAATAAATTGACGGATTGTATTAACATCCTTTAGTACATTCATATAAAAAAATAGGAAGAAATCATCTGTGCAGTTTTTGTCATTGTTTTATTTCCAAACGAACAGTTTACACATAGTAAATATATGAACTAACGTATCATGCAATGAAGACTTTTTAAGATAAAGTTTGTTAGTATATATTCATTTGATTGGTTCATATTATGTATTTTTACATAGCTGCACACACAAGTAGATAATGAAGTAAAAACGTAACTGGATTTGGTGAGGCAGTTTGTGAAGAAAGGTTAAATTTCTAGGTTGTATATGTCACAGATTGATCACATTTGGGATACCATAAAAAACTGAGGAGAATTGAACAGGTCTTTTATCGTAGCGATCGAACCTAAAAACGTCCACATCTTGGGATGAACGTTTAACGATTAATGCCACTGAGTCTATATTCGACTGCAAAGTGATTAAAGTTTGATATGTACCATTCCAAGACCTGAAACTTCTTGGTTCGATCCCCAGTAGGGTCATGGGTATGCACAACTGTGAAGTTCCAAACCAGAACAGAACAAAGGTTCAGTGCTCTCTATTTGTAAATAGTACCCCAACAAAGATTAATCTGTGACAAATACAACTTATAAATTTATTTTCTTTCATATCTAAAATACACATAAAAAGCAAAATGAAAACTAAAAATCAGACATTCTGTCATAGCAACTAAATTAAATGAAATTAATTCGAAATTATTATTTTTAAAAGAAGAAAAAAGCAATTAGATTAAAATACCATTAATTAACTGATTAATTGTTTTTTTATCATTTATGTTCAATATAAAAAGAAATGTGTTTAAATCATGGAAAAGAAGAATTACGAATAATAGAGAACGATTCAATCATTTAGTTGCTACATGTAGGTATTTCGTCTTTCTACTCAGTGTTAAATTAAATTATGCATTCCCTTCTAAATGTTTGTCATTTTTATAAGAATTCATTCTAGTCAGTTACTTGGTTTCTATTTCAATAATATTATTGTGTTTGGTAGACTTTAGTTTTCTACTCTTCTTCTGATTATTTGTTAGTTTGTTTTTATTTACTTTTTTATTTAATTATTCTAGAAATGGACGATGTTAAACCTGGATGTATGACACAAGGATATTTGATCTGTAAGAATATGATGGGTGTATTAGAATGAAATGTTATTGTACTAAGAATTAATTCTTATCTCCATTTGTCTCTCACTCTATATGTGCGCACACCTGTGTGTAGTCGTGGTTTTATTTATTTATTTATTTACGTAATTATATTTAAAGTGAATTTTTGTGCAATATGTAGGTGAATTTATTTATTTATTATTACCCTTATATAATACTTCTATTTAAAACAAATAAAAACTAAGTTGATTGTGATAACTCATTTTGGAAAATGAAATGTGCAATAAATCAATCAGTTATTGTCTATATATATACTACCCCTACATAGCATCCAGCCCAAGCTTTGTAAGACTCACTATTAGCTCAATACTCTAAGACCATTGAGCTAAAATCCCATAGATTTCATTTTTAAATGCAATCGGTTGACAAGACCTGAAGGTTATGTGTTTATTGCTAATTGTCTATATACGATTCTTCAATTAATATCAGTTCTTGAGGGAACATACTTTTAAAATTAGACAGTTTCTACAAATCTCTTAATAATATATCCATATATACTTCCAACAAAATTCTAAATATTATTTGGGAGTTAGTGATTATTTTATCTTAAGTACATTATATATTCTTTTATCAATTTCTTCTTTGCTTTATTTTGAAAATCGTGAAAGAAAATTATGAACTATTTAAGTGTTAATATTGGAACCATGGGCACTTATTCACTTATAACCATTTAAAGCTGATCTGTTCAATTTTGTGATAACTGTTTAAAGTTAGAGTTTTGCGAAACGGGTCGAATAATTATATTGTATT